GGTGAGAGTGAGTTGCTCCTTGCCAGATTAACTCATCCATTTCCCTGGAGTTGCTGTGGTCCAAAACTGAGTCCCAGTGTGCAGTAGCTCCATGTAGGTTCCCAGCTTTCTCCCACTTCAGTTCAGTTTTTGTGTGTTCCCTCCCTCCACTTTCGACCTTCCTGCTAAAGATCTCTTAAACGCATGCCAGTCCTCGCAGTCCATTTCTGGGAGTTGTTCCACCTGACTCGGTCTCGTCCGCCATCTTGCCCTCTCTCCCCATTTTGTTGCATCTATAAATATATAGAACAGGCATTTTTCACAGATGTCCTTCAAAGAAGACATTAAAGACTTTAACATAATATACCAATCATTCTTTGTGTGTACATATGCACATTCTTTTCTCACTGAGGATCTATAAATTTCATCAGTTACCTAAAGGTCCTGTTACACAAAATATGATGAAGCATGGGGCATAGATTTTGTCTAGAGAATTGCTAAAAATATTATTGAATTTTTGTTTAAAAGCATGTATGTAACAAAGTGACTGCAAAGGAATTACCGTTTCCTGGATGCCAGTCTATGCAGGTGGCAAAAAAAGTGCTAGTCACATATTTTTAATGTTATTTTGCTCTAGTACTATCTTTAGATTTGTTAAACATGAGTACACATGAAGGCAAGTTGTTTTACCATGTGTTTACTTTGCCAAGAGTCAATAATAGTGAACATAGCTTACACTGCCACCAGTATCAGTTAATTTCAAGACCCCATTGTTGAAAATTGTATTTATATACTTACTACATAAGGTACAGGAATTTAAAGGTATGTGGGATGAAGACAGGGAGAGAACAAGAGGGAGAAAGAGAAGCATCTCTAAAGTATCAAAATGACTGCAAGTCTGGCTATTAAAACTCTGATGAAAATGATGATTATACTATCTGGTTTTCATAAAGAAAACATAATAAGATGATTGAATAATACTATAAAGTAAAGCATATTTCTAATCATTTTTCTATATGCCATTCATAAGATTATAATGAGGTATAAATTTACTTACAGTATAAATGTAGGTACTGTTAGATATACTCTTGAGAGGTAGGTACGATTGTCATTTTCATTTTACAGATGAAGGTAGTGGGGTTCAGAGAGTTTAAGTGATGTCCTCAGGACATAGAGTATTGCTGGATTTTAACCTCAGGTTATATCAGTAAAGCATCTCTATCTTTAACATCTATCCTATTATTGTCTCTCAGTATTAAACCATCTTAACTAAAAATACTAAACCAGAGTAACCATGTGTACTTAATTCCAGTAGACTCTGTAATTATGTAACCAATTATTATAGCTGTCTGTTATAAAGTTAATAAATAGTTCTGATCTCTAAGAGTTAGAGGCAGAAAATGAAATTAGTCCCAGAATTTTTCTCCATTGAACAGAGATGAACAGCAGTTTGAATTTTAGCAACATACAACATTCTTTTTTAGGTAAAGACTGAAAAATGAAGTTAAACATTTTTCAACTTGGTCTCCTTTTATACATTAACGTAAGCAAAATATATTCTTGTTACTGTTTTAGTAAGAGTTTTCATTTTTTTTTTTACATCACCAAAACTAAGTTAACTTCTATACATACATTTGAACACAGAGCGTCATTCTGTTCTTACTCCAGTGGAGTGGAACGCAATTAATGGCGATAAGCTCAATGACAGGGTCATTAAAAACCTGTTTGTAACCTTTAGAAATATGTGTATCCTCAAGTTGATGATACAGAGAGCTATCTGGAGACCATGGTTTAAATTGCAACCACTGACTGGCATGGATGTGCAGGTTCATTGAGTCAACTCTGTGCTCTTTGTTCAGTATCTCTGCTTTACACATTGCAGTAAACATTTTTAGTGCAATCCTAGGCTTAACACCAATAATTCAGAAATTTTACATTACTGTTACATGCTGAATTTTCATACACCAAAATATCATACACTAGCTGTATAAAATGTAAATGTGTTGCTCTTTGATGAGAATATTTTAATCAACAATTTGCTTGAACTTTTATATCCTTAGGCAAGAGGAATTCTAAAATGTGTAATAAAAGATCAAAGGAAATGTTCAATGGTAGCTCTGGAATTAATATATGTAAAATCTGTGAGGTGCATTAGAAGTTACACCCAGCGTAATAAAAATTAACTTAAGTGTATTCCAATCGTCAATATTCAGAATCCTGTATTCACTTTTGATCTTTCATCGCTTGCATCTTCTATGTTCAGGCGAATTTCAGCAAATTTTGCCTTTTCATATGTCTGAAACTATGCCCGATTTCTATAATCCCATCACCATCACCCTAATCCTATTTGAAGTCAGTATGTATCTTGATTTCCATAGCAGGATCCATGTAACAGGCTTTCTTGATGGTAGTTTTCGTAAGCTCCCTTTTAAACAGAGTATAGTCAGTTTTTCAATCCATTTAAATCATGGCATTTTCCAGCCTAAATATAATAATAATAAATTATATTTAAACTTCTAATCCTGCTGTTTAGATACTTCAGAAATTTCTTTGAATTTTATTCCCCCTTTTTGTTAAACATAAGCCATTCATTCTAGTAATTCTCTCAGTTCAGCATCCTCAATGGGATCACCATTTGTCATGTTCACTCTTGTCTTTACTATTTTTTACTTCACTATTTTTACTATGTTTTCTGCTTTATTCTTGTCTAACCACTCCCTATTATTCTGGTTGTTTAAATCCTTACATTCTCAACCATTTGTGTTTCAGGACTCCTAAAACCTTTTGTTTATAGAGATTTCATGTAATGATATATATAGTTTTTGAAGTTAAAGATAAAAATATTTATTAATGAAATTACATGAAACAATATTAACCTACGATATGTTTCATAAATAAAATAATTCTGTAAAAAGAAGTACATATTTAAAAAATAGTGGAAGGAGTGTCAGTGTTTTATATTTGCAAACCTTAATTTCTGACTTTACAGAAGAAAAATAGGATAACCTATTTACTTCTACTTCTACATTTGATCTGTTACAATCTGCTGTTTTGGTTGAATATATGAAGAAAATCAGTTTTCCACATAAATGCAGCAGGAAAAGGGAGGACCATGCATATTCCCTGAAATATTTTTGGCACCACTAGGGGTCTTCAAATTATACTTGGAATCTGCTACTTGAAGTTTCTAGTTAAGACCCTCTATGGCTTGGTACTTCTGAGTTGTTAAAAACCTTAATGCATGCATTTCATGCGATGTCATAGAACAAATGTTTAAGCTTTTTACTTCCTTATAATTTATGCCTTTTCTATATTGTAGATTATATTTCATTTATATTTCAACATGAAGCAGTATACAATACTGCTTCAGTACCAAGTTTTTTGGTTTTGTTTTGTTTTGTTTTTGGCAATCTCGCTCTGTTGCCCAGGCTGGAGTGCAGTGGCATGATCTCGGCTCACTACAACCTCCACCTCCAGGGTTCAAGCAGTTCTCTGCCTCAGCCTCCCAAGCAGCTGGGATTACAGGCACCTGCCATCACGACTAGCTAATTTTTGTATTTTTAGTACAGAAGGGGTTTCACAATCTTGGCCAGGCTGTTCTTGAACTCCTGACTTCGTGATCCACCCACCTCGGCCTCCCGAAGTGCTAGGATGACAGACATGAGCAACCGCACCTGGCCTCAGTATCAAGTTTTTGTAGATTCCAAGGTTCCATTTCATTCCATCCATGCTCAACTATTTTTGTTGTTGTTTGTTTGTTTGTTTGTTTACTTTTTGGAGACAGAATTTTGCTTTGGTTTCCCAGGCTGGAGTGGAATGGCATGATCTCGGATCACCACAACCTCTGCCTCCCGAGTCCAAGTGATTCTCCTGCCTCAGTCTTCCGAGTAGCTGGGATTACAGGCATGTGCCACCACGCCCCGTTAATTTTGTATTTTTAGTAGGGAAAGGGTTTCTCCATGTTGGTCAGGCTCGTCTCAAACTCCCAACCTCAGGTGATCCACCCACCTCAGTCTCCCAAAGTGCTGGTATTTCAGGCATAAGCCACTGTGCCCGGCCCCATGCTCAACTGTTAACCAACTGTGAGGCAGGTTTCCTCACCTATTTGTGCCTTACATTGTTCTTCTTTATAAGGGAAATAATAATAGTACTCATAGAACTGTTTTGAGTTTTAAATTACTATGTGTGTGTACACAAATAAACACATTCAAATATATATATGAATATATATATCAGTATATATGTGTATGTGTATATATATAAACTGAATTGCTTTCTCTTACTGTTATTTCGTATTTTTTTCTCAGTATGGTAAAGAAATTACAGCATGCTTTTCAGCAGTAAAACAGCAACTACATTATTTTTTAATTTATATTTGTAGTAATATTTTAAATATTATGAAAATCAGAAGTTATTATTCATAGCACATGACATTTAGAAGAGAGTCAGGGTTTTGAAAAATACCAATCTTGCAAAAATGCTAAAAAAAATGAGTCATTTCTGCACAATTACACACAATTAAGAGACCATCTCTTTTAGCTTAATCATAATCAAATAGTTTATTTTAATGAGCCTTTCCTTAATGGGGTCTACCCTTCCTATTTGCTCTGTCATACCCATCTGTCATTATGTGTCAATTTCCTAAGGTAATTAAGAAGTTGCCTACAAAAGGAAAAACATTATTTAGGCAGAGTACATACAAATTTGAAAATATGTTTATTACACTACACTTCAAAAAATTAAATTTTGAAAAAAGCAAATAATCTACTCAAATATCTCACACATTAAGGTGACTTCAAAAATACTGTTTGGAAATTAAAACTTTGGAAAATGAAATGTTACAGCTCTATTAATAAAATATTTTGAAATGGTGTTGTACGTATCTTCTGATTCCTCCCAACACACACACACACACACACACACACACATACACACACACACCATTGTTCTTTACCCTATTTTATTTCCAGCAAGTCTATTTCATTTATTCATGTACTCCAAAGTCTCTCTTCTCTGCTTAGATTTCAGCAATGGAAACATCTTCCAGGATACTGGAGGATATAAGGATGGGAAGGTAGGAGTACTTTCTGCATTTTATCCTTCCCTGCATAATCACCATGTTTAACTGCATTCCTCTGTTAAACTGCTGGCCAAAATAATCTCTCCTGATTTCAGTAATTGTTTCTCTTCATTTTTCCTTCAGACTCTCTGCTGTTAATTGTTCTGGGAAAGTACCTGTGATTGTTTTTCCTTACCTTCTAACCAGTATGATAAAAAGAAGCAAACGGTACAGGTTGAGATTCCCTAACATTTACTTCTTGTTGCATGAGATTCCGTTTCTAGTATGTTTAGCAACTTTTCAGCTTACACTTATTAAAAGAAAAAAAATTAACAAGACTTTTAATAATTAAATATGTCAGGAACTGTACTAGATGTTGGGGGATACAAATCAGATGTTGTACCTGTATTTGAAGAGCTCATGATCTTTAGACTCTATTAATAGACTGATACTATAAAAAATATAGTACTTAAAACACTTTGAACCACAAAGGACCTCAGAGTTCATCTATTCCAATATTGCACTTTTCTGGATAGAAAAGGTGACACACAGAGAGTTGATTTATACTGAATATAGTGCTCTTTTCAGTAGTCTTTATGTTAGTCTTTTCTACAGTTTTCTCAAGATAATCTCAGTAATTTGTGAACCTACGGATCCATATATTTTGTTTTCAATTTTAAAATTTTATCAAAGACTTAAAAGTTATAAAACCAACCAAAGAAAATATAGAATGTTTATTTCACCATTATTATGTATTTTCCTAGAAAAATATATAATAGTACTCCCAGGGGAAAAACCTGATTGATTTTTGTCCTGTGAGAAGTATTTTTATTTATTATGCAGTAAATATAGAGATATATACAGTAAATATCAATATTTCACTTAGAAAGGATGCTGCATATTGGGAAATAATATGTGTAACACATGCAATAAGCAAGGGCTTAATATATCAAAGAATAGACAACACTTCCTGAAGAAGCACAGAAATAACAGAGATGAATAGCCTATCAGATTTACAATGACTTACCAAAATGATCATCTGTAGTGTTGGAGAGGCTCTTGTACACAGAGATTTCACAACTGTTGAAACAAAAGAGAGAGAATCAGACCATGTTTCTCTGCAAAATTCATACACACACAAATTAAGGAAAACTGTTACTTCACAAATAATATATTAGAAAATGTTTGTGATTTAGTAATCAAGTTAATACTTTTAGCAGCATATGAAAAACTTGGCAATTAAACTCATTTAGCTATCATAATATTCATAATGTTTACTAGTCTGTTATATGGCTATATCTTACTTTTTTTTTTTCTTTTCTTTTTTTTTTTTTTTTTAGATGGCATCTCACTCTATTGTCCAGACTGGAATGCAGTGATGCAATCTCGGCTCACTGAAACCTCCGCCCCCACGGGGTCAAGTAATTCTCCTGCCTCAGCCTCCCATGTAGCATCACCATGGCCCAACTAATTTTTGTATTTTTAGTAGAGACAGAGTTTCACCATGTTGGCCAGTCTGGTCTTGAACTCCTGACCTTAAGTTATCCACCCGCCTCAACCTCCCAAATTGCTGGTATTACAGGTGTGAGCCACCGAGCCCAGGCAATATATCTTACTTTTATGGTGAAAAACAATCAGCTTTAAACACCATTATGAGTTGTCAGTGGCCTCAGTGCTTTCAGGTTATGCCCTTGTTTATACTGTCAACAAAGTGGTATAGGAGTGTTATAGGGTTACGGAGAAGACCTTCAATTATCAACTATAAGCTTTAAATTTACCCTGGCTTTTCAAGGAATTGGGTCCACTGTTTTTTCTTTACTACTTCTCTCTCTTTCTCTTTCTTTCTCTGGCTTTCTGTCTCTTCCTCTTTGACTCCTTCTTTGTCTCTGTCTCTTCCTCTCTCTCTCTGACTCCCTCTTTGTCACTGTGTCTCTTCCTCTCTCTGTCTCTCTCTTTCCTTCTCTCTTTGACTTTGTCTTTTCTCTCTCTCTCTCTCTTTCTCTCTTTCTCTCTCTCTCTGCTGGTCTTTCCCTGCCTCTGCCAGCCACTTATGCTGGTGATCTCCCCTCTCCTTCCCCTTTTTGATGGCTTTGGCTGTGTAAGACTGCCACCTCCTTAGGTTTTTGCACTGCGTGCAATAACTCCATGATTTCCTTGTGGTATTTAATGGGAGTTCCCTCAGAGGTTAGGAACTCCCTATCTTTCCATATTGCAGCAAAGGGGATGTAGGATTAGATAAACATACTTGCTATCTGTATACACATTTATTATTTTTCCCTTTCCCAGTTCTAAGGCTCGGGTAAGTGCCACTAGTTCTGCTATGTGGGCACTGGTCCCTGGGGGAAGAGGCTTACTTTCAAGTACTGTCGCACCACTAACTGTGGCATAACGTGCCCTTCGTATCCCATTGTCCACAAACGAACTTCCATTGGCATATAGGTTAAGGTCAGGATTAGCTAAGGGGACTTCTTGGAGATCCTCTTGGGTGGCATAAGTCTGGAATACAATTTGTTGGTGGTCATGCTCGATTGGTTCCCCATCCTCTGGGAGAAAAGTGGCAAGGTTGAAGGACACACACGTGCATATTTGAGGCACCAGTTCCTCAAGGAGTTGTGCCTGGTATCTGAGCGGGCAGTTGTCTGATAACCATAAACTTCCTTTGGCACCTAGTATGCCATTTACATCATGAGTAGTCCAGACAGTGAGATCCTTTCCTTGTATTATTTTGATAGCCCCGACACTAAGATGGCCACAGCTGCAACTATGTATAAACAGTGAGGTCAGCCTTTTGCTACTACATCAATTCCCCTACTTAGGTATGCCACTGGTTTTTGTCCCATGAGACTGAGTAAGGACTCCAAGAGCTATTCCTGCTCTCTATGTGCTGTATTATAGAGAAATTTTGTCCTGTGTGAAGGCTTAAGGCTGGAGCTTTTATTAGGGCCTGCTTTAAGGTTTTGAAGGCTGTTTCTGCCTCTGGTTCCCATTCTCCTAGATGAGTATTTTCCCTCTGGGTCTCCTTGATTAGAGTAGAGAGGGGCCGGGCTATATCGCTGTATCCAGGGATCCATAGTCAGCAAAAGCTGGTGATTCCAAGGAACCTCTGCAACTGTTTTAACGTCTTAGGGAGATGGTAAGCCAGTATACACCGTCTTCGTTCCTTACTGAAGGCCCAGGCTTCTCTGGCTAAGATTAGGCCTAGATATTTGACTTGTTGTAGGCAGAGTTGGGCCTTCAGTTTAGACCCTTGTACCCTTGATTAGCTAGAAAGTTCAAGACATCTAGAGTAGCCTGCTGGCAATGAGGCTTCCAAACTGGTAGTCAACAGTAAATCATCCACACACTGAAGGACCAGAGTGCTTGAACTTGAGAAGTGGCCTAGATCTTGGGCTAGTGCCTGACCAAACAGATGAGGGCTGTCCCTAAACCCTTGAGGCAAAACCATCCACGTAAGTTGGGAAATGTGGTCTGTGGGATCCTCGAAGGCAAAGAGAAACTGGGAGTCAAAGTACAGGGGAATACAGAAGAAGGCATCCTTCAGGTCTGGAACCATGAACCATTCTGCTTCCTCTGGTATTTGAGAGAGAAGGGTAGAGGGATTGGGTACAACTAGATACAGAGGAATTACTGCCTCATTGATGAGTCTAAGATCCTGCACTAGTCTCCACTGACCATTCAGTTTTTTACTACTAGAACTGGGGTGTTGCAAGGATTGCTGCATTTTCTTACTAAGACTTGAGCTTTTAAATGTCTAACAATATCCTATAATCCTTTATGAACTTCAAGCCTTAAAGGATATTGCCTTTGATAAGGAAAAGTGGTGGGGTCTTTTAGCCTTATTTGGACTGGGCGGGCCTTTTTGCCCTTCTGGATTATCCTTCCAATGCCCAGACTTCAGGGTTGATTCCCTCCTCAAGTAGGGGACAACGAATGGGTAACTTGATCCCCATATTCATGCAGATAATAGCTCCAGCTTTGTCCAATATGTCGCTCCCTAATACGGGGTGGGACTTTCAAGCATAACAAGAAAGGCATGTGAAAAGAGCAAAGTCTCTCAAATACAACTGAGATGGGAGAAACACCTGGTTACAGGTTGTCCTAGGATTCCTCAGATGGTAACAAACCTTGAGGACAGCTGTCTGGGGCAGGAGATTAAAACTGAGAAAACCACACCAGTGTCCAGAAGGAAGTCAGTTCCCTGACCCTCAATGGTTAAACGTACCCAGGGCACAGTGAGGGTGATGGCATGAGCTGGTGTTTGCCCCGGGCACCCTCAGTCCTGTCATTGGATCATCTGGTTGTGGCCTTCTGGTCCAGAGAACCTTTGTCCTCTGGGGCAGTGTGCATTTCAGTGATTGCCTTGGCATAGTGGAGATGGGCAAGGGTGCAGCTTATTTCTCAGTAGGCAATCATTTTTAAAGTGTCCTTGTAAACCACACTGACAGCAAGCCCTACCGAGTGATTGGCCTGCTCCACTTTCTGTCCTCTCTGAAGCACCAAGGTTTGTTTGTCTGAGGGCCATGACTAAGCCTGCAGCCTTTCTCTTATCTCGCTTTTCCTTTTTGGCTTGTGCCTCTTGGTCCCTATTATAGAACATTGAGGTTGCCAGGTTTAATAATGCCTATACATTGTCTTTAGGGCCCAGGGATTGCTTTTGGAACTTTCTCCTCATATATGTGTCTGATTGGGTAATAAACTTAACTTCTAGGATCAACTGACCCTCGCAGGAGTTGGGTGACAGGGGAGTATATTTTCTTAAAGCCTCCTGTAGCTGCTCGAGGAAGGCAGAAGCATGTTCTTCCTTTCCCTGAGTTATGGTGAACATCATTGAATAATTCATGGGCTTTTTCCTAATTCTCCTTAGTCCTTCTAGAACATAGGTCAGGAGATGTGTGTGACTGCAGTCCTCATGATCTAAGTCAAGATCCCAGTGGGGGCCCATATTGGGGATGGCCTGCTGATCAATGGGGAATCTGTCCCTTTCTTCGGCTGTCATTCTATCATTTACTTGACTAAGATACCAGGTATCTCCAAACTCTCAGGCTGCATTTAAGCCTCATTCTTTTCATTAAAAGCCAGGGTTTGATCTAACAATAGCATGACATCTCTCCAAGTGAGGTCAAAGGTTTGCCCTAGACCCTGCAGGACATCTATATACCTATCATGATCATCTGAAAACTTCCCCAGGTCTACCTTGATCTATTTTAAATCAGAGAGGGAGAAGGGGACATGTACCTGGGTTGGGGCAAATTGCCCTCCCACTACAGTTTGAAGTTGACATAACCGATAGCCAGGGAGTTTGTGGTCCTTTGCAGATTTCTTTGCTTGTTTCCTTCTGGGAGGGGGATATTAGAGAAGGGTTATCATTAATAGGAAGGGGAACTATAGGGAGGCTAGGATATGGAGGTAAGCTGAGAGGTCCTCTTGTGGGATGTAAATTGCAAGCTTTGCATAGTTATGGATTCTCCTTCAATGAAAGGAAAGCTTGGACATAAGGTATTTCACTCCATTTGCCTTCCCTCTTACAGAAAAGGTCAAGCTGCAGGATAGTATTGTAATTTATACTTCCCTCAGGTGGCCATTTTTCCCCATCAGAGAGAGAATATTGGGGCCAGGCCATAGTGCAGAAAAAAATGAGTTGCCTGTTTTTCAGGGTTTGCAGGTCAAATTGGTCCCAATGGCTTAGGTTGCATTTCAAGAGTGAGCCCGTTGATATCTGAGTGTTTCCCATCTGAAAGAAAAAAAACACCTGTGTTTTTGTTGTTGCTGTTGTTGCTGTTGTTGTTTTGTGTGCCCCTCGCCCCCACAGCCCAAGAACCCTCAATGGTCCCTGGAGCCTGCTGATCGGAATAGTTGTGCTCACCAGTGCAGCAGCAGAAACACTAGTTTTCCTCCTAGACCACAAAGAAGACCAAGGAAGGTCAGATTTAGTGGCCCTTACCAATGCTTTCTTGAACACCTTCACCCTTGCCTTTCCTCTTAGACCACTGAGGAAATAGGGTTCAGTGGCCCTTACCAGTGCATTCTCAGAAACCTGTTAGGGTCCTAAGCATTTTCTCCTGTTAGTGCTCGGACCTTACTCCTGTCATAAGAAGATGATGTGCCCCAAAAATGGAGTGGAGGGCTATACAGTGAGGGAGGGAAGAGATCTCCAGGGTTGGAAAAGTGACGCCTTTTGTCCTCACTTCTCATTATATGGATAGGAAGAATACAATTTCTGAGGCTCCTCATATCCTGGCTTCAGGAATAGCCTTTGCTAGACCTGCTAGTCAGAAGAGGGATCCTAAAATGATGGGGCTTTGGGCAAAAATTATGTCTAATTGGTGAGCCTGGGTGCCTAACGAAGGGAACAGAGTCCCGAAATTTATACTAGA